AGACAGGGCACACAACCTGGGCCTAGGCCTCTGCCCCAGAGATCTGTGCAGCACGGAGGTAAGGCCCAGCTGGCCCTGCCTGCCCCTTCCCTCAGCCCGCACAGCTAGTCTGCAACATCCTATGACGGGTCTTTAGTCAGGAACTAAAACTCATCAGTTTTTCAGCCAAGTGAGGCCAGGTGAGTCTCCCCAGGACTTGGGAGAATTCTCAGATGCCACCTCAACCCCCACAAGCAGTTTCTCTCTCTCAGCCCCTTCCCATTGCTTTTATACAGTCTTAAACCACGCTGTACCTGCAGACCTACATTTGCTTAGTTTAAAAAATTCTTTAGTAAAATACATATATGAAGCTTAAAGTTGTTGCCTAGTGATACATTTGAAGTTTATTATAAAACTCAAGATCAGAATGCTTCAAAGTCAAAATTTTACCTTTGTAAGGTGGAAGAAGCCAGGTGTTGTCTTTCAGTTTTAACATGTGGTGGGATGGAAGCACCATCTGACTCGGACTGGTCAGAAGTCTGCCAGCAGCCAGGCAGCCAGAAAGCCACCTCGTCTTGTGGACAGTGGGGAAGGGAGCATGTGCTAAGCACCCGCCTTCAGCACCTCTCCCGTGGCACGTGCTGAGCTCTATCCCGATGAGGAAACACTCCATTCCTCACCTGCCCACAGGCAACTCAGCTGGTGCTGCCGGGCTGGGATTCCAACCCAGGTCTGTGGGCTCAGAACCCAGGTCCTTCCCACCAAACTAGTGGTTTTAAAATAGCTTTTGTGGCCATGCTTCAGGGGCTCTTTGCAAACACTTCCTTCAAATGTCATTTTAAATACTAAAAAGAAAAAATTAATTGCATCTTCAGGTACAGAATATGTATTCACTTAGGCTCCCTGAGACCTCACAGTAAGGCCTCTGTTGCTGTGCCTGGGTGGGGTCCTCAGGGTCGCTGATCTAGGTAGAGGGCTCCAGCTCAGCGCTGTTCACCAAGCCCAGCTGCAACTCGGTGTCAGTGGCTCTCACCATAAAATAATCGCAGTGATTGTAACCTCTGGATGATTCTTACCTGATATATGGAGGATTAGGACTGAAAGCAGGTGTTGCATATTCTATTAATCCATCTTTTCAAGCACCTACTTCAGTCTTGTCAATAATAACCAGAGACTGCAGGCAAGCTGTGACTATTACTATTGGCAACCACCTTTCTATATACAATCAGGATTTTTTTTCCCCACATCAAATCCAGAAATAAAATAGATGCTAAGATAGTTCACAGCTAACCCATTTGCACTAGTCAAAAATGCTCCCTTTCAATCCCACTGATTTATGATTTATGACATAACTTAGACAATTCATGCTGATAACATACCTGTTTTCATGTATTTGAAAGGTCAAAAGGAAATAGAAACAGTGGATTATGTCAGAATCTTTGACTTTGGTTAGGAGGGAGAGGAAGGTTCATGGTGTTAAGCCTGTTGGTAGAAACTACTGAGCCTTTCCCCAGGATTTCTGGTTTGGCTAACTCAAGAACTAAGTTAAAGTAGCTGTTTATTAAGCTGTCCTCTAGAAGCCCAAAGACACTGAGGGGAAGGGGCCAGGAGAGAATTTTTTAATTCAAATTTTGCTATTAATTCATTGGTAACCTTGGATGAGTCTTTGCCACACCCTAAAACTGTTTTCTCAAAAAAACCCAGTAGGTTTGATTAAAGTAATGGTTTTTCAGACTGACTTGGAACACCAAAACCTTTCTTCAAATGAGATGTTACCCGGAAGCCTAGTTCTGAATGGGCCTGGAGGGCCTGGGGCCCCTCCCCATGAAGGCCTGACAACAGCATGAAAACCTCAAACTAGATAACCTAAGGTCCCTTTCACCTGAGTCCATACCCCTACCTCTGAAACGCAAATGCTGACCCCTGTTGCCCCTACCCGGCCAGGCCCTCCTTATCTCCTGGACAGACTAAAGGGCTGAGCTTTATCCCTCATGCCTAACACACTAGTCACAGCACTAACTAGAAACCTGAATCTAGGAGCTAAACTACGGTTTGTGGTGAAAACGACACATTTATTTAGTTTATATGGTCACTGAGGCTACAGCAGAATCAATGCTGTTACAATACACAAGTACTGCTGTCAGCAGCAACACACAGTATATTTTGTAAATGGCACCCAAGCCTCACTGGTTGTGCTTGTTTTCTGAACCTTATAAGCCAACCAGGAAGCAGTTAAAGGCCAATTTTAAATGCCAATAAAAAACAAGTGTTACTGAAAATACAACTGAAATGCAATTGCTACAAGCACTGTAAGAAAAGTTAACTAAGAACTCAGCTATGAAAGTGAAGACTAAGTGGTAAATAAAGTACAACAGCAGCACTTACAACGTTGTTAATTCCCTTTTCAGAGGATGCCCTTTCCCCTTCCCATACCCTCATGCCTGTGCCCTAGCCTAGAAGCCTGTCCAGCTGGGGTTGGCAGCTAGTGTCTCCACGGAACATGCAGCTGATGAACTCTACACATGTGAGAGGAACAAAGCGTCAGTGTAGTTGTGTGTGCAGGACAACATGACTCGTGTTTAACAGAGGCTTGGGAGGGTCGCCTCCTACTTCTGCTAGTTTTCCAGACACTCTAGTCCTGCCCTCGAGAAATCGTCAGGAACCTCAACTTAGAACACACGTTCTTAGAAAATATAACTAAGCAGCTGGGACTCCTGCTGTTATCCCAACTTCAAATGGAGTCAGTCATTTGGCCCCACAGCCCAGGGCCCATTTTTAGCCCTGCTATCAGCCCTATCTTCAACTAATGCAATCGGGTGGTGCAGCTAGGGACAGGTCACTTGAACCAGCTAAATGAAATTCTGCAAAAACCCCTTTAAATCATCTCTCATCCTTAAAAGATCAATAGAGGTCAGGGCCAGAGTGAAAAACTTCAATAGGTGTGGGATCTCCTAGCCTCAATGTGTAGCAGCCAAGTGTATCAGCCCTCAATTCCCATTATATATTACGTATTTAGTACTGGCTGGTGTAGCTCAATGCATTGAGTGCGGGTCTGTGAACCAAAGCGTTGCTGGTTTGATTCCCAGTCAGGGCATATGTGCCTGGGTTTTCAGGTCATGTCCCCAGTAGGGGGTGTCTTAGAGGCAACCATACACTGATGTCCAACCTGCCCCCCCCATTCCCCTCTCTAAAAATAAAGTCTTTAAAAAAAAAAAGACTTTATGTATTTACATCTAGAGGGAAGACATCAATGTGTGAGAGATACATCGATCGGTTGCCTCTCACATGTCCCGAACTGGGGAACTGGCCCACAACCCAGGCATGTGCCCCAACTCGGAATTGAACTGGTGACCTTTTGGTTCACAGGCTGGTGTTCGATCCACTGCACCACACCAGCCAGGGCAATTTCGGTATTTTTTAATAGCTAGGAATTGTTTAACAGATCCTCTGGCACCATTTTGTTCTTTCTTTAAATGTGTCACAGTACCTTCTTAATTCTTGGAATATTCTTTGCTAATATAGAAATGAACAGGAAACTTATTAACAAAATTATTGAAGAAAAAATTTTCTGTACATCCTCACTAGGAAAACCCAGTAAATTAAAAGAGCCCTGGTCATTTTCTGGGCTGGGATTAAGGAGGCCAAAGTGTAGAGAGAAGGGAAATATTGAGACAGTGCAAGGGCAGGAAAGTTTAGCAGTTCACTCACTGGTACTACCTCACTGCTTCAAACCAAATACCTCCACATGACAGCCTGGAGGAAGCTGGCCTTGCCCTTGGAGAACCGCATTTCCCCATGTACAGCCAGCCATCTTCACAGGGCAATTCCTTGCCCTCAACTCACACTGTGCAGGTCTCTGCAGCTCTCCATTTGTGGGCATCAAGAGCTGTGCTAGGTTCTGCTAGTGTTTTAACTCACTGAGGGCTGAACCACTAGACCTCAGAAACAAGAGGAGCTGTGTGTAGACACATGTGGATTAGGACACAGGTTTTTTACAAACTTGTCTGAACACAGACCGGGCTCCCGGTGGACTGAAGGCAGCTGAGATAGCACCTTCTCCTCGCAGAGGACAGGCCAATTCTCAAATGCAGGCTGGAAGACCTTCGCAGCTCTCACACCAGAACCAGCTGAGCTGTTTTTAAGTGCTTGTGTATTCTAGGCAGAGTCCATCCATCCAGGAAATGATTCTGGAAAGCCTGCCCCAAAGAGTTAAGGCCCTCAAGAGGGGCTCAGACCTGCTCAGAGCAGGTCGCTCTTCAAAGCCCAGCCAACTCACCACAGAGGTATTGGGCTGGGGACCCCAGAGTATAGCCCCCCTCAACACCAGCCTTCCCTAGGGAAGAACTGCACAGCATACTGCCCCTGAGGGATGCCCTATAGTGATGCAGAGTAAAGAAAATTCACCTCTGTGAAGAGCAAGAACTAGCCATGACATGATTAGAGGCTACGGCCTTGCTCGGCTGATTGCAGATCTAAGCAACGGAGATCTGCCCTCTGTGGAAGGAGTACAGAAACCCCTAGTGAGGCACATAATCCAATCACATGCAATTCAGTTTCTGCCTCCAGGTCTCGCTGTCCACTCACACTCTCATCCAAGAGCAGACAGGAGCACTTTCTAGCCACCCTCCCCCAACAACTTTCATTTCACTGCATGCAGGACTCTGCTTAACCACTGCTAGAGGTACAACTAATGTTCCCTGGGTAGGTGGGGTCCAGGGGCTCGAGCACTGGCTGCCCTGAAATCAGACTAGCAAAAAAAAACAGTCGACAATTAAGATGCCTGGCTGCTCTGCCTTTTTAGCTCTGGAGATGCTAGGGGCAAAACCACCAAGAAGATGTGTTTTAGTGCTTGGGTGTCATAGGATGGTTCCTTGCCAAGGCCCAGAGTTGAAAAGAAATCTAGTTTTCCTTTGCTCAAGTCCAGCTCCCCAGCAGTACCTCAAACTGCTTCAGTGTGAGAGGGAAAACAGATGAAGAGGGGATAAACTACAGGAAAAGAATCGGAATGTGTTAGCAAATGCTACCATGCGGAACACTAAACTTTATTCACTTTATTTATATATTTAACAATTCTAAAGTATTTACTTCTTGCTTTGACAAAAAATGAAAAATATAGGAGCACTGACTGACTCCTCTTTAGGAAAAAAGGGTTATATGTACAGCTACGGAGAGTTACGGTTCCTCCTTTACATACAAAGGAAAATATTAATAAAAAAGTGCTTCATTGATCAAAAAAGGGCTAAGAGCTGCAAGCATTTATTCACACTGTACATCAGACCCAAGAAACCCGTATCATAACCTCTTGGCACCTGTCACTAAGAACTGCACAATCTTCAATTAGACTGACTTCTCCCTCCCCGCACGGGCAAACCACACAGAGTTCGGAGAAGGACTACACCCTGTTTCACTAACTTCAAACTCTGAGCAACCTGCTGCCACTGGGAAGCTGGAGATGTGCTCAGATGCTCTTGGCTTTGCCTGGACTGGCTACTCCAGGGAAGGCTTCTGGGCCACGTCTTAATCACACCCAGGCACACACAGGAGCCACCTTCCTGAGACAGAACTTGCCCTTGGCCAGGGAACCGCTTCCAAAGTGTCAGAAGAGTTCCCTGGTCTTACCCACACTGCTCGCCACCACAAGCCCTGTTACCAGTTAGCAGCTTTTAGCAGAGCCAAGCATGGCCCTTCCCCCAAGAGGGAGGGCAGGCACAAAACATGGATGCCAAGATTACAAAGCACAAACTTAAACTCACCACCCCTTCCCCATACCCACCTCCACCACAAATATTCTTGACTTAAGGCTCTTTTTGGACCACATCAAAGCTACTGAGGGAAGGGGCCCTGAATTGCCTACAGGCTGTCACTTCTCCAAGGACTGCAAAGTCACCAAGTGGGCCCTCACTGCTGGCCAGCAGCACAGGAGCAGGGCAGAACTGTTGCTCCAAGAAGGGGAGGAGGAAGGCTGATTGTATGGGACATGCCCCCTTTTCCAGAGGCTTGCACTCTAAAAGGCTGATTCTACCCCTCAAGGGGGAGGTCCATGATTGGTTTGGTTTGGGAATAGGGAATTTTTGGAACCCTGAGTCTGGATTTCCCTGTGCTAGCTGAGGAAGAGAGATTGTTTGGGGGACCAAGCTCCACAAGGGGCTTCCAGGTGCCTGGGCTCCAGGCAGGCTTTGGCCATGGCCACAGCAACAGGACACTGCACTCTGATCAGTCTGCACTTTCATGTCCGAGGGTGGGAAGCACTACATGGCCTGGCTGAGGAAAGCAGACCCATGACAGCGACGGGAGCCTTAGACAGTCAAGATCAAATTAAAAACGGAATCCCGTGGGGGAGGACATACTGGCCATCCACCTCTGTCCCCTCCCCTCTCACTTGCCTCAGTAGAACATACACCTTTCTTCCCCTAAGGGAAGCCCTTTTACTATAATCCATTTACTATTTGCTCCTTCTTCCACTTGCCAATCCTGTCTGTGAGGTGGGAGGGAGAGGGCACGCAGGGTAGTGCTCTTAGGGAAGATGCTTCCGGCCTCCTCAGCAGCAAAGGTTTTTCCAACCAGCTCTGATGTGGCGGTGGCACAAGGAATGGTCACAAATGTTAGCACTGGCTTTCTTCCCCGTTCACTATCTCAGGTCTCCACTCCTGACCAACCTCCTTCCATCCTGAGGTACCAAGCCAACCCTCAGCATTTCCTGACAACAGGCAGCTCTATAGTTACAGGGGGGGCTGGCAACCTCTGGTATTCCATTTAAAAAAATATTTTAAAGATAACCAGCGGACTTTTTCCTTTTGGGGAAGCAGAGGGAGGATGGAAAAGGGAGAGAAAAAACCAGGAAAGAAAAATCAATCTACAATCCAGTGGTACATCCCAAATTTCTGTCACTCCGCACAGGTGGTTCCATGCTCCCATTCCAAAGTGCACGGGCCTCGGTCTGCCCAGGCTGTGTGGGCCTGTCAGAGGAACAGCAGCTTGGCCTCTGCCTGCCCCAGGTCACTGAGCTTCAGTTTGAGGTGGCAGCAATGGGCTTATCCAGTTCAAGGTCAATGCTGGAGCTCGTGGGATGTAGACTGCTATAGCAAGACTTGCACACTCGACTGGGTTCAAAGAGCTGCTGGCTGGGAACTGGAACCTTCTGGTTACAACAGCTGGAGCAGAATACGTTCCCACAATTCCTTGACATAAGGAGAAGAAACAAAACAATGTTAGCTTAAGTAGGAAGTATGAATGGGGAAACCAACTTCGGAAGACAGAATTTTGTTGTACGTAATTCAAATGTGTTGGAGACTCCTCTAGGAGCAAACACTTTCATTTGTCTAGCCAAAAAAAAAGCCAGGCAGGGAGGGAATCCCTACCTAGACATCACAGCCACTTCCACTTGGCTGCCTCATTGCTATGGCTTCAAGGTTACCAGGTGTACAGGAGGATGTTGCTCAAGAGAGATCTGTGAGAACAAATGAGCCCAGGGCAGAAGGAGCTAGCTCTATGGGTTAAGTCCTGGCCCAGGAAAACCCAGTAGCCACACCACCTGGGCAACGGCATCTATGTAGCCTGTGATCACAGAGAGGCCAGAGTCCAGTGGAACTCCCACAAGCCCAGCAGACGAGAGAAAAATACCCAGCCCAGCTGAGGAGTGGGGAGACTTGCCCAAAGGACCACTTCTCCAGAGGCTCAGAGGCAGCAACAGCAACATGGAAAATAGACTGCCGCCATTTAGGACCGCTCTGCTTCCCGCATGCAAAGCCAGGAGACAAGCAACCAGTGACAGACACATGCTCAGGGTGAAAGTACAAGGACACGGATGAACACACGTGCACACACACCCCCTTATTAGATAAGTATCAGTCAACTGTGGCTCACTCCCCTGCCCCCATGCATCTCCAGGGACCATCAGAGCTCTACCTGAAGGCACGCAGGCCCTGGGACTCCCTCTCCTCCACTTGAAAACCCAACTTTGATGTGTCCGTGCAGCACACATCTGCACACCCAAATAGATACTCGTCACAGCTAATGGGAAAGGGAACTGGCAGAGGGCTTTTGTTCACCTTCTGAACCCACTTTTGCTGGGCCCTAAAGGACAAATCAATCCCAATGAGCCCAAGAACAGGAGACTCCAAGGAGCCTAATGCAGCCTGCCGAAGACTTGGGAAAGCAGCAAAGGGAAATTCTTCTTAGCCAAAACCAATCACTACCTTTTTGTTTAAACTCCTCAGAATGCAAACCCACTACTGGATTAAGAACCACTTAGGCCTGGAGAAGAGAACACTGAACACCTTTCAGGGCAAAAGAATACAACAAAAGGGAAAGTCTAGACATAGGGCAATGGAAGGACAGAGAACTAAAACACACAAAATTTTGTCTTCTAGAACACAGTAGTACTTCATAACCACTTCTGAAAAGCATAAGTTGACAAGAACCTCTGGTTACACAGAAAAATTACCTAAACCTATTTCTGCTTACATTTATTTAACAGACCTGCTGGAGTTCAGCTCAAAAGCCTGACATGAATTTGGTCAGTTAAGCTTTTCAATCAGACTTCTTTGACAGTCCTGACAGACCCTGAGTGGAATGTTCCCCTAAAGTCTTCTATGTTAAGACAGTTTTCTGGTCTCCTTAAAAAAAAAAAAAAGGCAGTGACACTGTTTGACTGAAGTTATTAGCATCACTCTGACCAAAAGAAATAGCTCTAAAAATTCAACGAGCTACTCTGCAAGACCAGCTTCTTGTCTCAAGCAGGACAGCTCAGCTGACCCGTGCAGTCAGGAGGGAAGTACAGGGCTGCAGCCTGACTCAGCCTTAATGGTCTCCTCAGCTGGCTGCTTTGGTTCTCTCTCAAGCCCACCTTCCTGCCTGTGTTCCCAGCCCCAGGTTACACCCCAATGAGTGCAGAGAGGGGAAAATGGCAGTGTTAGTGTGAAGTTATTGTAGATGTGCAGACATTACAGACAGGTTGTTGCAAATGCTCACCACGTTTGATCAACACGGTCAGTGTCCCTGCAAGGAGGGGAGAAAGAGCTCAGAGGAAAAGCCAACCGAAGACATTTGAGCTTGGGGTGCAGGATGGGGAGATATACAGAGTTCTAGAAATAGCATTACTAGACAAAGAGGTGGTCCCGTTTTCAATCTGGGTTCACTCAGGTGTTTAAGTTACGCCATGATTCATATAAACTTCCTCTACCAAGAACACTGAACATCTTCCAGTCACCACCCCAGCTGGGGCAAAGCATCCCTAGCAACTCACTATCTAACCAAGAAGGAAGGAAGGAAAAAGTCAGGAGTGTTAAGGATTGAAGACTATGTCCTCACCTGTCCCACTACTACCCCCAGCTATTTCTGCTCACCACTGACATAAAGAAAATAAGTACAGGGTCAGGGAACAGAGTAAGGAGTAGGAAAATGAAGTACCCCGCCACAGCAGGAAAACTACTTTTGTTCACAGAAGCCATGTTGAATGGGAAGCAATTTTATTTTAAAAATAAGAAATGGTGATTTGGGAGGTGGCTGTTGCTCCACCAAACCAAAACAAACAAAACAAAACAAGAAGGGACATAATTTGCACATTTCAAAATTTAGTCATGATAACTGTGAATTGGAAGGAAGACACCAAACACAGTTCTGCAAACACCGATTTCAGAGGCACAAAGCACGTAGTCGGGGGGCCCTATGGACCTTGGGGCCTGCCTTAGAACATTGCCAGCCAGATGACTGCATCTCTCCAACCTACAGGCTCCGTGGGCCCCACACCCTGGCCCACCCCACCATACCCCCCAATGGCACCTGCAGTGGTGCTTCCTGCTGGCGAGCCAGAAGGCGCTGTCACACGCGTAGCAGTGGGCAGCCAGGTGGTCAGGGAGCCAACGGGTCATCTGTAAAACAGATGGGGCCAGATTAATGACAGGATATGGGCCATCCAGCTGGAGCCAGCAGAGCCATGCTGGTGGCAGCAAGAGTCACAAGGACTCTGGCTCTGGTGGCACCAGACCAGCAGGTCTGATGTCGGCAGTACAAGAAAGGCGTCCAAATCGTTTTCCTGGAGGGGACTCCGAACTCCCCTGAGATAAAATGGCAGGCAGCAGCAACTTGGGTCGCTGTGACAGCTGGCAAAACTCCAGTTCATACAGGCAATGAGGACAGAGGGCCAGCTTGCTGAGTCTCCCTGGCTCAGAAATTCTAGGTTTGCTGGGGATTCACAGGTGCTGAGATTCACAGAGGCTCAAGGCTAAGTGTACTATGAGGTCATTCCTTGGCCAGGGGCATGGGGTAGGGATGGGGACGGAGAAGAACTGCAAAACAGTTGCATGGGTGGCACTCAGAACAGGGGCTGAGCCTGTACCTCCGTGTCCTGTTTATCCACCTGCTCCCAGCTGGCTTCAGAGAAAATCTCTGTGCTGCAGCGAGACAAAGAGTTCTGATCCAGATTGCTTTCCGAGTCGGGGATTGAAGTCTGTTGGCAAACAAACACAGCTGAAGAAAATGAACCTGGTCTCCCACAAGAAGAAAGGGCTTGGAAAAGAGGGAAGCACCGGGGACTTTGGGTGGGCCTGGGTGCTAGGGCTGCTGAATGTGTAGGTACATCAGCCATCAAGAATTGGGTTGAGCAGGTGCAGAGACAGGGCTGAGCTCAGCTGGAAGAGAGATATGCAGGTCTAAGGCTGCGTGCAGTGACTGTGGAGGGCAAAGATGGGCCTTGGGTTCCAGGAAGTGAGTGGGAACTCAGTGTCAGCTGCTCCAGTGGGCCTGTCAATTCAACTCTGCCACTCACAACTGTGTGTTGAGACTGAGTACTTTGGGCATGTCCTCCTTCCTCTGAAGGACTCTTTGGGAAAATGAGAAATCATCATTAGTGTGAAGGAAAATCCAAGAAGTCAGTTTAATTGAAAGTCATGTAGTCGATGAGCCCGCCTTTAATGTACGCTGACTGCCTCAGAGCCAGGCTCACACTGAACTTCGACACCGAGTACTTGAATATCAACGCACCAAGTGAGAAGAGAGCCTCCCTGAGAACCTCCCCTCAGGTACCCCGACTTCCATTTACCAGGCCCCATCAGTGCTAACTTGACAGTGCTAGAAATCACTTCTCCCCACTTCCACTGCCATCACCTGCCACAGAGTAGATATAAGTATCTGTTAGAAAAGAACTAAACCTTCACAGGTACAGCCCATGTTTGGGGACACTAACAGTTTACTAGCTAAAAGTTACCTAGTAACTTAATGGGGTAAAACAGGCACTATAATTTAGCAGGAATATTTGACATTGCCTTACAAATGTCATTCTGCCCAGGAGTTCATGCCCTTCTTAACATATGATCCTCTCTCCAAAGAGATCTGCCCAACCATGTAGTGAGTGCTACCTTTATTCCTTAGCCTTAACTGCCTAAACAGGACACCTGTGGAAAGTATGCAAGGCAGAAAAAGAGAGGCAGACTGCCACTCACATGGCTAAAGCTGTTCTCCAGCTTGTTCAACAGGGGTACCCTGGACCCTTCCCATTCTTGGAGAAATCTGTACCAATCACCATGCACCAGTCACAAAGGGTGTGCGACCTCAGTGTGCTCTGTTTCCTTGGGCAGCTATGGAGCATGGTATACTCACCACTTCATCCCCAAAGTCCCCATTGAAGCGTAGAGAGCTGGTCAGACACTGGCTTTCCAAGCGACTCCTCAGCTCCTGGACTTGTTTCTTCAAGGTCTCCACTTCCTGTTGGTGGCCTGACTCAATCTGACGCAGGCGCTGTTGGATAGTGTCTGTGTATACAGGCATACCATCATCATCCAGGTGGCTGCGGGAAGGCTGGTCAGGGCTGCCAGTTGCAGATGGCCTTCCTGACTGGCTGTGCAGCCACTTATGGTACAAGTTCCTCGAGTGTAAGTGGGCAGAGCTGCAGCTTGTGGCAGACAGCTGGTGGCTCAATGAGTCCTTGCTCCTACCAGCCTCCCCATTGGCACAGTGCCCATTGGGGGTGGGGTACTTCTGGAGGGTGCTAAGCCCTGGGGGCTGCTCTGAGGCCTTATTTTCAGTCTCTGGAACACCGTTGCACACAAGCCCCTCTTTACATTCGGCTATAGGCAAGGCACAAGGAGAACGTACTGGGCTGTGGGTGCTGCCAGGGGAAGTCCTATGCACCACAGATTCCCCTTGAGGCCTCTCAACCAGGCTCCTCTCTGGAGACCTGGGCTCCACGGCTTGAGGAAGCACGTCCTTGCCACTGAACTTGCTACTGTTTACTAGGCAAGGTCTATGATGGTCTTGGGGCCCACTTTCTGACTTCACTTTATCTTCCATTAACATGTCCAAGGAACTGTCTACGTTTGGTCCTCTGGCTTCAAATGGGACTTGCAAGGGCAGCAGAGAACTTGACTGTGAGGTACCATAACCAATATTTGCATCTACTTGGATTGTAAGAATTGCTTCCTCCCTGTCCTCTGCCACAGCTCCTATTTGAGGCTGTTCCACAGGGACCTCCCGGATATCCTCTTCCCTGGGGGACTCCTGGAGAGAACTGGAAAGAACACCTTGCCTACCCTGCTGCTCAGGAATACCCTGTGAGAAGAGAGAAAGGCTGATGCCCGGAGGGCTCCTCAGAACTGCAGCATCCGGTGGTGGTACCTGATGAGGTACAACCGCTGAGCCCTCAGGAACCTTCCCCCTGCTCCCTCTTTCTAAGAGAGCCTCCTCTGTGACCTCCTGCTCCATGCTCCCCCTGTGGGTAGTATCCTCTATCCCACTCTCCTCTTTGGTGGCCTCTTGCAAAATGTTCTCCATCTGCCCCTCAGCCACTCCAGCTGCAACAGACAACTCTGCGCCACCCAGCACTTTGGTTGGCTTCCCCAGGCTGTCAGGATCAAGAGGCTCCTCTCCAGGACAAGCCAGGCTGCTCAATTCTAAAGAGCGCCTGTGCTGGTGCTCCTGCCACTTTTCATTCAGGCTTGGGTCGCTACTGCGCCGGCTGGCTAGAGGCACTGTGTTGTCGCAGGCTGTGGTCAGATTGTCAAATGATCTAGTCTTTGGTAGCCTAGAAGAAAGGGATTTGGAGGAAATGAGACTGTGAGTCTATTCAAAGGGGAAGTAGGAAACAACAGGTTTTAATAGGCTGCTATTTCATAATTGGGTCCATTATAACTATTCAAGGAGCTATGGCATCTCTAAAGTGAGGCTCAGACTTCCAGAAAGGCAAAGCTCCAGGACCCATCCTTCTTTACATCTGCAGATTTCCACTTGAACCACCCTTACCCTATGCCCAATATATCCACATAAACTAAGAGCAAATGCTATTTTAAAAAGACATTTTTCATGATACTGCTGTGTTTTCAACTAGTGGCAAAGGAAAGTAAATACTGCTATTTTTCTGATATTACATTATTTTAAATTAATTTTTTATTTATCAGTCTGAATTCAATAAAGTTAATTCAGTGGCTGAAACTCAAGCCAAAGGGTCACAAGGAACCCAAAGGATTTGCTCCATATAAACTGCTCAGTGCCTAGCAGCCCAGAACCCTAATACCTTCAATGAAAAAACTTCAGGGATCTAAGAAAACGTGTGGAGCCAGCCAATGTCAGGATTTCTGACCAACCCTGGGCGTGTCCTAACAGAGGAATACACCACACAAGACTTAAGGCCTTGGCATCAACCCTGGGCTCACCGGCTCAGGAGTGGATCATCAGGGCTGCTGCCAGGGGCTGGGTATGGCGCACAGCTGTCATCCACAGGGGTGGACGGGGATGGGCAGGGTAGGTACACTGCACTCCACAGCATCAGGTTACGCACATGACACACAGGGTATAGCACCTGAAGAAAAAGAGGACACAGGTTTAGAGAAGTCCCAATAAGTTTTAGAAATGTCTAGAAATAAGGGTCAAGAACAAGCACTAAGCTGGAACACCCAACAAGTCTTGGCATATCTTCAAAGGGAGATAGGATCTGTGGATACAAGCCTACCTCTCAGGAGTTTTGGGCAACATTTTTCACCTGAAAGGCTCTTGTGGGCATAAATACCTAACGAGTTTTTTAAAATCCATTTCTCCGGTCACCTTTGCTGACTTTCATCAGCTTAATTTGTTGCTTTTAATGCATAAGTGAGCCATTTCACTAGATGATTTCCTGGTATAAAAACTTGGCTTCAGAAGACACTGTCAAACCTGTTTTATAGGACCATTTAAATTAATCTTGTGAAAAGGGGAAATTTCTTCTTGTACTGTTACTTCCCCAGCAGGCACAGTGAAAGAGAGAGAAGCAGTTAGCTTAAATCTTTCCTCTCTACTTAAAGAAGCATCTCTACTTAAAGTAGCGAGAAGCATCTTAATAGTCCAGCAAAGCAATATAACCTCTGATTAGCCTCCACATCTTGACTCCTTTGGAATATAAGATGCATTCTGACAAAAGGAACATTAGCATGTGTCAACACACAGATGTAAGTGCCTCCTTCTCTCTGCTTAACAGAAGGTGTGCCTTTGAGGAACAAAGTCTTAGAGTGCCTGCCAGTTCTCCATGTAAGCAGAGAATCACAAAGATAATACATGCTAATGTCACATAGTCTTCTGACTTCTGAGAGACAGAAACTGCAGTGGATGTCACCACTTGTTGATACTGGAAGGGTGCTGGGGGCCTGGTGGCAGCTCCTTCTGAGCTATCAGGGGCATCCAGGGAACAACTTAAGTGCCTCTACCACTCATTAGACAGAACACACTGGGAACCAACTCTGGCAGAGGTGCCAGAAAAGATTATGTTTAGAGTGGCAAAGCAGAGATGTATATTAAATCAAACAGCCCTGAACAGAAGTCAAAGCATCACCAGAAAACAGGCCTTTCTCAGAACAGAGTGGTAGAAAAAAAAATGGAACCAACCCACCCAGAGACAACAGAGATGCCTTCAAAGAAACAGTCACTGCTCAAAAAAATTCCCATGTGCCCCCACCGGTAATTCCTTCTGCTGATCAGAAAGGAAAGGATACATACGGCTTCTGACTGAGAGGAATACAGTAGGTTTTTGAAAGCCTTGTTGCCTGCCCGAAGCAGCGACCACACGGAACATGTACGTTCCTGAGTATGCTTTTCCCCTCGCTCCTTGGCGTTGTTGCACAGGAATGTTCCAAAGAGGCAGGAATAGGTATGTTGCACCAGTTTCACCTATGGGAGTTTAATGAGGCAAAAATCAAGCAATAGGCTACAGGTTCTCTGGGAAAACGTCTTTCCAGACATCGGAGAGCATTTCAGTTCACAGCAATAGCTGCCTCCTCACATCACCAATTTCAGAGCACCAACCCCAACCACCATTACTCCTGATTCAAAAGAGCAGACAGATAATTGGCATACCCACTCCTCTTTCCTCCCTGACAGTCTCTGAGGTCCTAAGTTAACATTCACTCTCAAGAGCGACAAAGCATATAAACTGCAAATAGGAGGAGGTCAGTGTGCAACCCAAGTCTGAACTGAGAGCATACTTCTAAAGAAGTTATCATTTAACAAATGGTTAGAGAGCATCTCATGTACCCTAGACATTTCTATAGGGATGACATACAACAATAATCACATAGCTCTCCTACCCCGATGGAACTTATTCTGGTTGTGAGAGAGGGACAACCAGTAAGTACTATGGACGACAATAAAGCAGAGTAAGAGGTACAGGGCACGTGCAAGGCAGTGTGGGAAAGTCCCTGGCCCAAGACCTGATGGAATTAAGAGCACAGGTCCCGTGGGTATCTGGAAGGAAGGTGCTCAGCAGAGATAACAGCAAGCACAATGGTTTTAAGGTGAGTGTATGCCTATGATTTCTGAGAAACAGACAGAGGCCAGTATGACTAAAGGACACTGGACAAGAAGGAGAATAGCAGGAAATGAAGCTAGATAGGTAACCTCCAGGAGAGCCCTGCAGGCCACTGTCAAGGACTTGGACTTTTACTCTGTGTGAAATGAAAGATTGTTGGAGGGTTTTTTTAGCAGAAGAATGATGTGGTCTGTATTATACTCTAGAAGGGTCCCTTTGGCTGCTGGAAAGACTCTCTCAAATTGGGGCAAGGAGGTGATGGTGGCTTAGACCAGTGTGGAAACAGCAAAGGCAACAATAAGTAATCAGGTTTTAGATATATTTTGAAAGCAGAGCTGCAGAATCTGCTGACATGCTGAATGTAGAGTATGAAAAAAAAAAAAGGAGAGCTGAGGATGACAAATTTTTGCCCTAAATAATGGAAGAACTGAATTGCCATTTCATCAGATGGAAGACTTGTGGAAGATCAGGTTTTGGGGTGGTAAGATACGGAAATCAAAAACTAAGTTTTGAAAATGTTAAGTGTGAAATACCATTAAGACATCCATGTGGAAATATTAGTCACAGTTGGATATGTGAGTCTAGAGTTAAGTGGAGAGCTGAGCTGATAATGTATGAATGTGGGAATCACATTTATACCAATTAAATGTGACAGCAATTAAAGCCACTCTAGTGAATGAAATCCCAAGAGAGGAAATACAGATAGAGAATCAAACAGCCTGGAAGCTGAGCCCTGGGGCATTCCAAAATTCAGATCTGGGCACATAAGGAGCAACCAACAAAGAAGACAGAAAGGACCAGCTGGTGAAGTAGAGGAGAACTGAGAGAGTGCAAGCTGGAAGTCAATTGTTTCAATGTTTCAAAAAAGAAGTGATTAGCCCTGGCTGATGTAGCTCAGTGGACTGAGTGCCGGCCTGAAAACCAGGGGGCATTGTTGGTTTGATTCCTGAGTCAGGGCATGCGAGAGGCAACAATGATGTTTCTCTCTCTCTTTCCTTCTCCCTCCTTTCCCCTCTTTCTAAAAATAAGTAAGATCTTAAAAAAATTTTTTTAAGTGATTACAGGGAAGGGTTTTCAGGAACAACTATAAAGGGCACATGGACAAAACCAAGTGAGGACTGGAAGCAAGGGAGGGAAGTGGGGATGGCTGAGGTGGGGTGGGAAAGCAGGAGTGGTAAACCCAGACAACTGTAATTGAACAATAAAATATTTTTTTAAAAGTGATTACATTGTGCCAAATATTGATAGATCAAAGATAAGGACAGTCAAATGTACAAACTTACAATTATAAAATAAATAAATTATGGAGATGTAATGTAAAGCATGGTAACTATAATTAATAACACTGTATTGCATATCTGATAGTTGCTAAAGGAGTAGATCTGAAAAGTTCTTGTTACAAGAAAACAAAATTAACTAACTATGGTGATAGATGTCAACTAGCATTACAGTGGTGATCATTTCATAATATATAGAAGTATCAAATCATTATGTCATATACCTGAAATTAATTATATGTTAGTTAATTCCTCCATTTAAGAAAGATGAATGTACACAGCTGATGGAACTTTTAAATAAATGGGAATTAAATGTTTTTAAAAAGATTAAGACTTAAAGCTAATCATTAGATTAGCAACATGAAGGTCACTGGTTACCTTAACAAGAGGAGCGCTGATAAACTGGTCCAGAGAACATCTGATTGGAATGGGTTTAACAAAGAATGGGGAAAATTTGAGGTAGTAAATACAGAAGATTTGAAGAGCTCTGCTGTGAAGAAATGAGATAACAGCTGTGGGGGGGGGGGGGAGTGGTTGTAGGACTGAGAAAAGTGTAATGAAATGAGAGCCACTATACCATGTTTGTATGCTGATGGCCATTACATGGCAGAGAGGGAACTATGCCAATGCAAAAGGCAGAGAGGGAAAATGCTAGAGCCATGCAGCTGAGCAAAGGAGAGGAAACAGCTGGTGAACAAGGGAAGGAGAAGTTGGAGGAAGGCAAAGATAGCATGTTCTTTGTCAAAGGGGAAGGGACAGAGAGTGTGGAACAGGCACAGAGGGCGTGGTAGATAAACTGGAGAGAGCAGAGGATATTGTTTCTATTTCTGGCTGCTATTTAAGGCTTCTATCATCCATTTTAAAAGCTTACTTTAAACCAACTCAGGACTTTATACAAATCTAGTACACTTGGATTCAAGGAATAAATACTTATTATTGTTTTTAATTAAAAAAAATTGGACAGAGAATGGCCCTTACATTGAATTCTATAAAGGATACACAGTTTCAAGGGAATACTGGCCCCCTAACATTTGCACTGATAGCCCATGAATTTAGAAGGTCCCTAAATGAAGAGTCATATTCCCAAACTTACAAGGAATGCTTCATTGAACTCAAAAGAGCAAGGAAATTGCCTCTGAAGCTGATGAACACAGTCAAGCCACTGCAGAAACACTGGGCAACGCTCGTTCAGATCGTCTGAGTTCTCCCCATGACCACACCGGTCAGCAAACTTGTGGCCAAAATCCAGCCACTCCATCTCCACCAGGACCTGGAAACCCTGCAAGAAAGCAACCAAGAGAGACCATTTGTGCTTGTCTATTCAGACTGTGACAGTCCTGAGCCTGGTGTCACTAGCAGTGAATCCTTTTAACAGCCTCCCACTAAGCCCATCAGAAGAAAGCCCAGATCCAGCCTCAAGGCCAAAGGCTCCATTCCTGATGAAACACATGTTTAGGCCAATTTTCCCATTCTCTCAACTCCATTCCATAATCATCGAAAGGGTACTAAGCATTTATCTAAGCCTTTCTTGAGTTAATGTAGTATATTTTTAGCCTTTTCATTCACCATATGAAAGTCACTTTTTTTCTTTCTTTTTTATTTTTTAATTTGTCTTTCATGTTACACTTACAAAGTCATGTATGGAAAACCTTTCCTAACCCCTAATTTACATATATTGGGTTGGCGAAAAAAGCTCGTTTGGTCTTTTCAATAAGATGGCTCTAGTAGCTCTCAGTTGTCTTTAACTTCATTCAGAACAACTCTGATTGTATTGCAAAGCTGTCATATCAGTGTGCATTAAAAAAATAAATATCATAATTGGTGAATTTTGTGTAGCCATTTTAATATTGAAGATGGATAAAAATATGCAACATTTCTGACATATCATGCTTTATTATTTCAGGAAAGGTAAAAGTACAACTGAAATGCAAAAAAAGATCTGCAGTGTATGGAGAAGGTGCTGTGACTGATCAAATGTGCCAAAAGTGTTTTGCAAAGTTTCATGCTACAGACTTCTCACTGGACGATGCTCCATGGTTGGGCAAACCAGCTGAAATCGACAGTGATCAAACTGAGATATTAATTGAGAACAATCAGCATTATACCACACAGGACACAGCCGACATACTCAAAATATTCAAATCAATAAAGTTATTGGTGAAAAGTTATTTTACAGAAAAAACTAAACAGACTTTTTGGCCAACTCAATATTTTAGCACACATTTATGATTTTTCTTACTTCTTTAACCCAACAAGTCGTCATTTTGAGTAGACCTCTTCCTCTACAGAACATTCTATGGTGATATCTACAACCATAATAAGTATACCAAGATCCTTCTATAGAAGTCCCATTTTCCTGGGCTAGCCCATATTTTTCCAAGTAGGCAGACTACACAGTGAAATATGTCTGTATTCTCAATACTTTGTTATCCACAATCTGCCCAATTTACGAGATAAGAACTGTGTGGTAGGCATCGCCTAATTTAGCACAAAGGAGCAATGATTTAAAAACAAGGAAAGTTTGCTTTCATTAGACCTAACCACATGACCAAAACTGATCATAAAACCCTCCAACTTTTCCCCTACTCACCCTGAATTACCGAATCCTACTCCCTGGATGCACCCACCTCTATGGTTCGGTAATAAGGATCCAGCAAGAGCTTAGCCAATGCCACAATCTGAGGGGTGCGATCCCAGCCATCCGAGCAGTGCACTAGCACCGGCCGCTGATCACGATCCACAGCATGTACTACCAGAAGCGCCGACTTCAAAAGCACAGACAGGTGATGAAGCCATTTTGTGCTTTCAAGAGCTGAGAGCCAACTACAAAAATAAAAACAGAAGGTGATGAGGAAATGCTAACTCTTCTGATTTACTTTATTACATCAGGTCAAATACCTGTCAAATTAAAAAGTAATTCCTAAAGTGTTTTCCCTCCAAATAAAACACTGCCAAAACAAACATGAAAGCTCTGTCTTTATGAAATGCATAGAGACTTCTGGTCAAGATGGAGTCACCGATGAACATGGCTTGCCTCCTCACACAACCACAGCAAAAATGACAACTGAACTATAAAACAACTATCACTCTAAATCATCAGAAAATCGAGCTGTGTGGAAGTCCGACAACCGAGGAATTAAAGAAGTCACAATTATTCAGACATAGGAGGGGAGGAGATGAGGAACGAGTGGTCCCACACCCACGTAGGTAGACAAAAATTGGGAGCGATATCTCATGAGCAAGGGATCCCAGCCCAATACCAAGCCCCCCAGCCCAGTGTTCCAGTGCCAGGAAGATAAGTCTGCATAACTTCTGGCTATAAAAGTCAGTGGGGGTTGGGGCAACAGAAAAAACTGCAAGATTCTCAGGCATCTCCTCTTAAAGGGTGCACAACAGACTTAGGACTTACGCAGACTCACTCCCTCTGGGCTCCAGCACTGGGGCAGTAGCTTGAAAGGCACCAGTGGCATATGGGGAGAAACTAAAGTTTCTGGCATTAGGGTGAGTACCAGGGAACAGCTTTCTCCTGGACAAAACTCCAGAGGCCAGGCAGTGGCCACTGTCCCTTTTCTAAGCCCTCACCCACACAGAGCCAAAGAGTAGCAACAACATAGCAGAAACTCCATCAACCTGGTTCAAAAGGTTTGCCCCACCCAGGTGATTACCTAGGGCTCCACACCATCTAACCTACAGGTACACTTTTCTACATTAGGCCACACTACTAAGGGAATCAAAGCAGTACCACCTAAAACATAGTAACAAACACAGGGAGGCTGCCAAAATGAGGAGACAAAGAAACATGGCCTAAATAAAATAACAGACTGAAACTCCAGAAAAAGAGGTAAATGAAATGGAGATAAGCAATCTGTCAGATGCAGAGTTCAAAACACTGGTTATTAGGATGCTCAAGGAACTCACTGGGTACTTCAATAGCATAAAAAAGACTCAGGCAGAAATAAAGGTTACACTAAGTGAAATAAAGAAAAATTTATAGGGAATCAACATCGAAGTGGATGAAGCTGAGAATCAAATCAATGATTTGGAACATAAGGAAGAAAAAGATGCAATCAATAGTAAGGAGAAAAAAGAACCTCAAAAAACGAGGATAGGGTAAGGAACCTCTGGGGCAACTTCAAATGTACCAGCATTCTCATTATATGGGTCCTGGAAGGAGAAGAGAAAGAGCAAGAAATTGAAAGCTTATTTGAAAAAAATCATGAAAAGAAAATTTCCCTAATTTGGTGAATGAAATAAGACATACAAATTCAGGAAGCACAGAGAGACCCAAACAAGATGGACACAAAGAAGACCACACCAAGACACATCATAATTAAAATGCCAAAGGTTAAAGAGATAATCTTAAAAGCAGCAAGAGAAAAGCAGAGAGTTACCTACAAAGAAGTTCCCATAAGACTGCCAGCTGATTTCTCAAAAGAAATTTTGTAGACTAGAAGGAACTAGCAAGAAGTATTCAAAGTGATGAAAAGCAAGGACCTACAACCTAGATTACTTTATCCAGCAAAGCTATCATTTAGAATTGAAGGGAAAAAAATAAAGGGCTTCCAAGTCAGAGTAAAGTTAAAGGAGTTCACCATCACCAAGCTATAATTTTATGGAATGTTAAAGGGACTTATTTAAGAAAAAGAAGATCAAAAGAACAACAACATTAAAATGGCAATAAATTCACAACTATCAATAACTGAATCTAAAAAACAAACTGAGCACATAAGCAAACAGGAACAGAATCACAGATATGGAGAGCATTTGGATGGTTACCAGTTGAGAGGGGGAAGTGGAGAATGGGGGAAAATACGAAGGGATTAGAAGTACAAATTGGTAGGTATAGCATAGGCAGGGGATGTTAAGAACAGTATAGGAAATGGAGTAGCCAAAGAACTTATATGCATGACCCAAGGACATGAACTAAGGCGAAGGGCATTGCTGGAGGAAATGGGGGGTACTGGGTAGAGGGGGAGAAAGGGGGAAATATTAGGGCAACCGTAATAGCATAATCACTAAAACATATTTTTAAAAATCACATACAAGGATGAGGCCCAAGTCCTACTATACAATAGAGGAGGCACTTAGAAACAGGACAGTCATTAATAGGACCACCCTTTGTTCCAAAAGTCATTTGGCTAATTTCCCCAGAGAACTAACATTTCATGTTTTTCAGTCCATGGTAGGCATATATCTAGTTAAAAATAAAAAGTCATTCTTTCCGGAATCTACTCTTGAAAATGCAGCCACTTCTGAGATGTAAAACAGAAGATATTTGTATTTAATGGTCAGCAACTCTGCCCAACAAGTTCTCAGAAAAAAAAAAAGTACAGAACACTCATGAATACAAATCTAGTTAGCTGGATGCCACATTCGAGAATGGTGTAGACAGCATTGCCTGCTACCACATCCTAACACCTGTCAATGCTCAGGTCCTGAATGTCTAGTTGACTAAAACTGGATAGGCCCAAACTAATTTAGACTCATGCAAATTAATACACCAATGGCTACACAGTATTACTGGACTTAACAGAGACTGGATTCAGCAGGGATCTAGAAGGTCCTTTTTCAAAAGGCCTTTAGATCCCAAGAATTGCTCTTTGAGAGCAACCACAAGCTGATCACACTTGTCTTTCAACTGTGTTGATAGTTTGTTTCTTATGCCCTGTCATAAATTCCATTCTCACCCCCCCCCCCCACAAAAGCTCTCTTGATTTATCCAAAATGCAACCAGATTTGTTTAAAAACACAGCCTAGCCCTTTAAAGAGTCAGAGGAGGGAATAAATGCTTCTGCTGGGTGGTTCTGAGAAGGCTGTTTCCAAGACTACTATAAAGGATTATTAAATCTTGGAGAATGAGTGTCAATTTTTGATGAAGTCCAAGGAGAAGGATCTTTCCAGGCAAACAGGCAAAAAGGATGTAGTGAATAAGCAATGGTTTCACATGGAATGGCCTGGTCTACCAATCAGACTTCTAAATCTTCAGATGGCAAACTCTGTATCTCAGGCATAGCTGAGCCCCTACCCCTAGTACAGTGCCTAACATACAGTGGAGATTCCTAATATTTAAATTGTGAATAAAAATAAAATAAAATAATAAATAATAAAATAAAATAAATCAACCTCAAGACTTTCTATCTCTTAATAGATACTCAAGAAACATTTTTTGCTAGTGGATCAATTGTTTATTCTCATTCCTCACAGGGTCTTGAAAGAAACTAAAAATAAGGTTTAGCAGAGCAAATACTAAATTATCTCCCAGCCCCTGGAGAAACAGTAAACGAAAACCAGTGTAAGGTTCTCCTGACCTGACTGAATTATTCTACACATACCAGCTGGTATTGCCCACGCCTAACAGGGAAGCTGCAGTCTAAAATCTGCCAACCAAGGGGATGCTGAGAGACTCCACACTCCCTCACCCTATTCTAAAACTGGAGTAGAAATACACTGCACCCGAGTCCTCCACATCCACAAACAAGTGTTGGGAGGCTTGTTTCCAGCTGGTGCCATCACGGCCATAGCTTCTTTTTTCTTCAAGGGAGGCTTTAGTACTGCATTATGACCTGCTGCCAAAGATAGTCAAAGTAGGAGGGGAGCTTGGCAGGCTGGGTGAAAAAGGTGAAGGGATTAAGAAGAAAAAATTGGTGGTTACAAAATAGTCATGGGGATATAAAATACAGCATAGGGAATACAGTCAATAATAACGTAATAACTATGTATGATGCCAGGTGGGTACTGGAAATGTTGGGGGGAACACTGTGAAGTATTCTAACCACTATGCTATGTGCCTGAAAGGAGTACAAAATAATACTGAATGTAAACTGCAATTAAAAATAAAAGTTAAAAAAAAAAGACAAAACATTATCTACTTCTTTAATAAAATCACCCAGACATTCATTTGGACCAGGTGACCACTAATTACATCTTTTTGACTGAGTTTAAAAAACAGCTTTACAATGTTAATATATGGAAGATATTAGAGGTCAGGTAGTATTAATTCTATCCCTTTCATTTTATAGATAGGAAAACTGATACCCAGAGATTAAGCCACTTGGCCAAAGTCATACAGTCAATTAGTGGCAAATCTCCTGAGTCCTCCTTTCTATGCCCTACCTTTAAGGAAGAGACTGCTACTAGCTGGTTCTGTACATCTATGGCAGATGCAAGTTGCTAATCCCCAAAGTAGAACAGCAAACTCATTTCTTCAGTCAGGCTGTTCCTCAAGGAAAAGTGCTTCACCCTCTGGGCTGACTACAATTGTGATGAATTTAATCATTTGCTACCGGGAGTTAGCACAAATGGTTCAGGCCGCCATTTGATTTAATAAATCAAATAAAGAATGCTGCAAAACTTGATGTGACCATGAGATCTACTGAACAGAACCCAGGGAAACAGCTATGGGCTCCGGCAAAAACACCAGCAAAATTTCTCTTCTCTGACACCATTTTGGGTTTCCTAAAATAGTAAAGCAGGAGCTTTTAAATATTTATCTGTCCATATTTGTTTTACAGAACATTCCTCCTAATTTATCCTGTATTCACACAGTTCCCCTGGGAAGAGAGGGTGTTATTTCACCTCCCTCACTGCAAATGCCAGCCATTCATTTTTAATAAGCAATAAAAATCAAGGTAATATGTTTAATAAATGAGAGGATAATTTAGAAATCAGAAGCATATGTAAAAGGAACTAACCTAATGGCAAGTTTTTAGTTTAACCCTTTTTAGATCATGATAAATAAATTTCGACTTTTCACAGTAAGAACATCTCAGTTCATAGCAGGCAAGCCTCACTACAGGATGTCAGAAACCAAAGAAATTACTCTGGGCCAAAAACACAGTAGAAAAGAAAGTTTCCAGGAAAAACAAGAAAGCAACACTTCCATCTGAAGGCTGAGGCCTGTTATGTACTGCACATCTTTAAACCTTTCACAGGGCTAGATTTTAATCCCAGATCATTTACGCTACCATGTTCCTAACACAAAAAGAATACCCATAGAGACTGACAATAAAACCAAAGTTTACCATGAAATAGAGGAAAAAACAACTCTGAACTCATTAAAAAAAAAAAAAGGCAATGCAAATTAAAGCAAGGCCAAGGTCTTACTTTCCTGGATCTGGCATCTGTGTGCACAGCAACCTCAGAGACTGAAAACTCCTCCGAATTGAATGAATATTTGCCATCCCCATAAACACAACTTCACAGTTTGGGTAATACTCTGGAGAGATAAACAACAAACAGAACACAAATACATTAAATTTAAAGCCAACATGGCCAAATTTAAAAGAAGCAAAATGCCTATTAACAAACCCATTGCAGCTGCTAATGAAACTGCAGTGTTTTGATGTCTGTATTAGGCTAGTCCTTATGAGAAGAAAACAGTGCTGAAATTTTAGCTGTTTTGGCAAAAAGAAAGGTAAGATTTGTAAAGATACACAAAATAGAAGCTGTTACTTAAAAAAATCTATATACTTCTGTCTCATCTCAGGTTTATTTCTTGGACCTTAGCTTTTTTTTCTTTAATCTTTATTGTATTTTTTCCATTACCTTTTAGTCCCCTTATACACCCTTCCCCGCAGCATCCATCCACCCTCTAACCTACCCCCCACTAGCTGTCATCCTGCTTTCCACCTACAAGTCTGTCCTCATTTTCCTTGTTAGTTCAGTTTGTTCATTAGATTCCACATATGAGTGAAATCATATGGTATCTGTCTTTCTCTGACTGGTTTATTTCACTTAGCATAATGTTCTCTAGGACCTTAGCTAACTTATAGCTCTGGAATCTCTTTGAAAAGAACCTGGAAGAACAAAGCATTTCATGCATTCAAACTTCACCTTGGTACCATTGCATTTAATTTCTAGCTTAGATCACATCTGAATGAGGAGCTCAGTGCCTGTATCTGTCTGCTCCATCAGCACACAACTGGCATCAAAGGGGTCCTTCTTTGGAGAAACCAGCATTCAAACAGCAGGGATGTCATAGGTGAGGAGAGGGCGCTCTGCTCGAGTTTAGTATTTACTGCTTCAATTTCCATGCCAGGTTTTCTAAGTAGAAGCCATGTGAGGAGTTTTCTCTGAGACCAGTGATGAGCATACCCACTTGTCAAAAGCAACAAAAAGCTCTTAGAAGGCTGATAAATTGAACCACTGAAGAAGCAGCTTCCAAATATGAACAGACCTTATTATGGGAGAGAATTGACTTTTCTTATCACCAAAAGGTTGGCACAGGGAAGGAGGATTATTTGGTTTCACTGCACCTCCTCCTCTGCTTCACCCCTGGAAAGAGTATTAAGAATTCAAAGAGGCCCTGGCCAGTGTGGCTCAATTGGTTTGAGCATTGTCCCGTAAACCAAAGGGTCACAGGTTCAATTCCCAATCAGGGTACATGCCTAGGTTGTGGGTCCAGTCCCCAGTCAGGGCGTGAACAACAGGCAACCTCTCTCACATCAGTAGTTCTCTCCTTCCCTCCCCCACCTCTAAAATCAATAAGCATGTCCTCAGGTGAGGATTAAAAAGAATTCAAGGAGCTCTGTCTCTCTCAAGATAGCTGAGGAATATGGCTTGCCATTCATTTTATATTGAAAACTAAGATTCAGTTGGGCACAGAGATATCAATTCAGACACATGAACTCACAAGGAACGAATGCTGGGGGACAAAGCACTGTACACCTCACCTGGGCATTCACAGCCTCCTCCTTTGGCTCGGTTCGCAACAGCTGCAGCATAGGAACGTGCATCCAAGATCAAAAGCTTCTGAGGTTGGATGGCTAAACTCTCTGCTCCTGAAGCATTTGACAGAGAAGAATCTAGGAACATCAGGAGTGAGGAGGAAATACTAAGTGACCTGTCTCTCCCAAAATTGTACAAAATAAGAACCATGGGCACATATTACAGTACCAAAAAAAAAAAAAAAAGTCAAATCCACCAAACCAGAACTCTTGATACATAGACTTATCTATTTTCTGTTTTGCCTACATCTCCTATACCTTGTTTCTATATTGGTAGTCCTTTTGTGAAGCCTGGTGCTTCCCCCATGGTCTGGAGACACTGCAGGTCCCCTAGTACACATTTACTCCATTCTTGTCACTACGGCAAGAAAGATCAAAAATACTCTAGTTCTCTTAAGCCAAATTTGAAACAAGGGATATTCTGGTTCATGGACAAGACCCATGACTCCCCAAGCAATCCCATCAATCGAAGCTTTGCTCTTTCTTTTTTATGATACAAATTCTGTTTTATAAGGAAAAGGCCATTTCAATAAAAGGTTCTCATATGCTATAAAAACTGCTGCCATGGGTCTAGGGAACACCTTACCAAACTCCACATCAGAAAGGTCTCCTGCGTTGGGAAAGTCTCGAGAACTATTTCTAGTTGACAGCTTGCTGCCACTTGATCTGGAGTCAGAGGCACAAGCTTTGGCTACTGACTGCACCAGGTGCTCATCGTCAGCATTTCGCCAGCCCCACCAGCTGACCTCCGGCTGTCCACAGCGCGCAATGACAGCTCCATTGCTCTGGTGCCTGTGCAGGGAACAAGACACAATAATTGTACCATCCCAGAGACCACATTCAGATGCTCTGTGCTCATACCAAAAGTCAAGTCATGAATTTTAAACAACTTAATGAACAGCCTGACTACAGGTAAGTGATGGGTTAGCTTCAAGTCCTCTCAGGGCAGAAATCTTATACAGCAACAAGAATAAATAGCAAAACTTACCTGGGCCTTTCTCAATTATAGACCATTTTAGAGATTTCTGTAGTGTTACCAACAAAATGATAAGTGTGTACTCTTAGAAAACAAATCAATATTCATAAAGCAAATATCTGTGTCTTTATATTTATTTTCGGAAAATGAAGTAAAAAATAATCTACAACTACTACACAAATTCTGCTAATCAATAATGAAGTATTACTCTTTCCTTTTTATACTATACCTGAATAGCCTCGTAGATGCCAAAACAGGAAAATTTATTTCCTCACTGATTTCTGAGGGCCCACCACAGCAACTGGCTGACTTGGGGATTATTCTCAAAACAAGATCCCACCTTTGGGACTGAAACACTTATCTGGGCCACAGTGAACTGGCTGACAAAATCTCCTGAGATTTCCCGAATCACAAACTGCTCTTACTATAGGCAAATCAATGAGCCAGCTACCCTTCCTTAAGCTCTTAGAGGGAAAGGAACAGCATAAACCTCAATAAGCCATACTCTCATAGGTAATTTTTTTATTCTTTTTCAAGAAATAAAACCAGAAATAACACTCACAGTCTACTTTAAGATTCTATTAAAACTGTTTTTCCTAATTAGGAATTTCAGTTAGGCAATTTTAGCAATTAAAAAGTTATAAAGTAATACTATCTGGCAAGCAAAAGGAATGAAGTCCTAATACATGCTACAACATGAATGAACCATGAGTATATAATGGTAGGTGAAGGAAGCCAGTCACAAAGGGTCACATTCTATATGATTCCATCTATAGGAAATGTACAGAATAGGCAAATCTAGAGACATAAAGTAGATAAGTGGTAACTCAGGGCTAGGGGAAATCTCAACAAAGCCACTTTAAAAGAGATATAAAAATAATCAGTTCACTGTAAAAATAAATTAGCAGAAAAAGCTAGTAAGCAAAAAATTTAAATGCCCTTCAATTCTATATCCCAGAGGAAACCACCAATGTATTACCTCCCATTAAAACAGTTTCTAAACACATATGTGCATACACACATATAACACATATGAAGAGCATCTATGGATTTAAACAAAAACCTACTAATGAGTCGATTTGTTTTTAATCCTAAAGCTCACAAGCAATAAATTAAATTTGGCAGTAATCAAATTTTACTGGAACCACCAGTTTGCTTGTAGTTTTTAAATCCTCCCGTATTGGGAAACAAGTACTTGTATGCTGCCAACATGCTCCACTTACTCACCTGCTGAATGGAACCAAACTAAAAATAAAACCTCACTGATTCTTAAAATGCCTACTAGTATATGATAATAGGTGCTGGATAACCAATGAGCTGACTGATGCCAAATCCCTAAGAGGCTTGGCAGGGCCTTTCCTTAACATCTTTCTCTGTAACACTTCCCTGCAGCTCCCAGGAGGAACAGTAGATGGCAGTCTTCATCCTGGGTTTCTGGTTTTAAGGGCTGTGGCATCGCAACAGCTCAACTGCAACTGAACTACTGCAGTAGGCAGGTTTTCTGCAGTCTTCTAAAATGCTTTAGAAAGAGAACTAAAACACTAAAGCTAAAAATCACTAAAGAGCATTGCTATCATTTTAACAAACATAGCTATAAAAAGTATAAAAATTAAACACTGAAATGTTTAAAGTATCCCTAAGTTGGTGTTAGGCGAGCTTCCTAAATGACTAGAAGTTTGTAATAATCACTCAATGCACGAAGGGGGAGCTGTGAATTGCACTACAGAGGGGCACCCTTCACACCATCTTGCTGTGTTAGAGCAGTCTCTATCTTCAATGATAAATCCAATTAAGCACTCTCACCACAGTGGGAGAAAGCACTCATCAGACACTGGTTCAGTGTGGTAATGTCAAGTAACCGCTGCTAACAACCTCAGGAACCATTACTGCAGTCTATAGACAATTAAATTCAGTAAATACATGTTGGACTTGGAAACGCCCTGCCATCCAGGCTGGCCAAGCAAAGAGTGGTAGAGTATCCCAAAACATTCTTCAGCTACCTCTATCTTCCAACCCAGTCTGGAGCTCAGAGATACAAAACACCTGTTCTGAAACAGAGGCCAGTTCCTGGAAGCCTGTCTGATTTTATGTGGCCTACACCAAGAACTTTCATTTATAATCTTTTGAGAGATTTTCTTTGAGAAATTGCAATTTAAAAATTTTCATTTATATATACTGTATGGTCTCCAGAAGGGGGGGGGGGAACCCATGACTCGTGCCCACTAGAATAAATTTTAGAAGGGAGAAAAGGCTTCCCATGTGTGTTCTACTAAGTTTTTCTTTAATCTGCCCTTTTAGGCTTCTCTATCAACAGGGAGAATTCACCTAAAGTCCCTTACTTTGAAAATGAGAGTCCTACCCCTTATGTTCAAAGTCAGCAAACCACACAAAGGCCAGGGTTGCTGACTGAACACAGCTATCAGCCACGGAGAGCAGCTGGCTACTCTCCCCATTTGAACTGGGCCGATCCCTGATAAGGCTCATGAAACCTTTCCGTTTTCACTGCTCTCTAATTCTTGTGTCATCCTTACCCTTTCAGTGATAGGTAAATGTGTTGGCCTACTTTTTTTAGGAATGTTTGAAAACAGTGATGAAATTGAGATTAAAAACTTAATTCGTTCCCCCAGGCCAAAAGCAAATTCTTTCCATCTCTCTCTATTCAGGATGGCCATCAGAATTTGCCTTTAATGGGGTAAACTGACAAGCTGGTTACCTCAGTGGACCTACACAAAGAGATAAATCCCTTCCTACAATTTCAGTTCGTTCAGTGGAACACCTCCTGGCATAAAACAGTTTCTAACTAAGTCTTACTGGTTTGGCCCAAATTTATGAAGAGATCAAAAAGTTTGCAAACTGGAAGAATGAAATGGAGAATGTTAACATTACAAGGAGATGACATCTGAAACAGTTTGAAAATAAGAGGTAATGACTTCTTAAAATTTTACCACGATTCTGTGAGAACTAAGATAGCCACTGAATTACAAAAGCACCATCAGATATACAACCTACTCCAGATGCTGCTTAGAGAAGTCCAGTGTTTATAAATCCATTCAGATGTCATAGCATATGTGCAAGTAAGAATATCATTCCCATTTTAGTAATTAGAACAGGCTGAGGGCAGTTAAGAAACTTACTTTTTACTCGAGGTACCATAGCAAGACATATTAGAGGAAAGACTTAAACTCCAAAACCTGTGTTTGTCCCTATGCTATCATCCCCTTCTAAGACTTAGCCTCCCAGCAGCTACCTCAGGAATCATTACTGCAATCTACAGACAACTAAATTTAGTAAATGCATGTTAGATTCCTGTCTTTGATCTGTAAGATCTTCTATCTGGCCAAGATCTTTCTAGTCTTCTTTTCTAAATGTGTCCTCTCAAAGCATAGCTCTTTCAACTGTCAAAGTTATTCAACCACAAAAACAATCACAAGTGACTCAACTCTGTATTCCCGATTTCTAGGACTCATCTTTCTTGATCCAAAGGTCCGCATCTCAGGCTAAATGCAATAAGCATATTACCTCCCCACAGAATGCCACAAAAATCTTAATAGCAAGACTAGCCACTTTTCTATTAATTTTTTTTAACAGTGTCAATGTTACCATCAGCTAGTGTTCTGGCTGCAATAATTACTGGTATGTGACTGGAAGAGCAGCTGTAGCAAAAAGGAAGTACAGAATTGCCTACGAAGTTTCCTGAACCCTCCCCTCCCTTCCCAGGTTGGCAGAAAACCACATGCAATGGTCAGTAGCACCAGACCACGCTGGGCCCAGCCAGGCTCACTTACCTGTAGATGACAACAGGGATGCGCTTCCAGGACCTGAAGCTTGCTACGCTTTCTAGTTCTTTGTCAGTGATCCAGGCAGGCACTATGAGCTCCTGTGGATAGCTACCACATAGCCTAACAGGTAAGGTGAAAGAGGGAGAAACTTGGTGAAATCAGAATAAGGATATTGATCAAGCCACCCAGAGCCAGTTAAAAGGCAATGAGAAGCACTACTTGAGTCTTGGCCTACTCAGCAGAATGGGCTACCGTGTGTGTTTACTTATGTATACAAGTATATCAAGTGATATTGTCTTGGACCGTTCCACTTGATACTGCCTTTTGGGAATCTGCCAGTCTTAACTATCAATGACAAAATGGGCAGTTGAAAGGCAGTTACTACCCCATTGTAACTCTCTGTTGTAACAGATACACAGGTCATTTCGAACTACACAAGTGCCCAGTCCAACTAAGAAGAGAAGGTCTGTGTTACCTCTACCAGATCCTCAGTCTTTCAGGCTTTTGTCAAAGGGAAACAAGTAAAGAAGGACAAGAACCCCCAATTTCAAGTTTCCAGAGACCTCATAGGATTATTAATGTATTCTCTGATGTGAACCAAACAGGGCGTCCTAATTATAGGTAGCAGATGCAGCTAGGGATATATAGAAACAGTACCACAGGTCAGTCTATTTGCATATATAATTACAGTCCCAGTCAGCCAACTCGGTAATGTGAATAAGCCATTAATTATAATTTCTATAAAGTACACTTCACAACAAACTACACTCAGGATAAAAGCTCTGTTTTCATTTGTGAAGATGCTCATGGTTGCGCACTAGTGAAGCTGATGCCCTAGGAAGCAGTATTTCTGATAGGATTTTTACTTATAGGACAATCTGCTGTCTCTCCACGGGTAACTCAGTATTCCTTTCAACAGTGAATGCAATTAAGACCTTTAATCCAAATCCAAAATACTACTACTATGACACTAAACCTACACCACCACCACACTACCTGTCCTAAGCTATCCTATGCATCCTACAGGAACATGCAGAAAAAACACAACGTAGCTTAAGAAATGGGAGATTTTGATCATTCTGCACTAAACATCTCTCTCCTATGCTCAATTTCCAGAAGATTAAGTATTAGGAATTTAAAAGTTACTGAACCAGGAGAATGGCTATGACCACGAGTAGCTCTATAAAATTCCTAACACCTACCCATAAACTCCTAAAAATAACCTAGGACACATTGATCATAGTTAAAACTCTTATCATAAGTCTTGTTCATTCTATCCTGTTTTCAAGTTAAACATACATTTTTATAATAGAAAAAACTTTTAAATTTCCTTAAGACTAGTTTTGAGGTGAAGTAGTGGGCTCACAGACATGAATGAATGAATGAATGAATGAATGAATGAATGAATGTTTACAAGAGAGGGGAAGGTAAGAAGAGAGGGAGAGAAACATCTAAGTGCAAGAGATATATCATATCAATCAGTTGCTTCTCAACACGCCCCCAATTGGGGACCTAGTCCAAAAGCCAGGCATGTGCCCGACTGGGAATCACACCAGTGACCTTTAGGTTTGCAGGCCAGCATTCAATCCATTAAGCCATACCAGCCAGGGAAAGAAGTTAATTTTTAAAACCCATATAAAATAGGGAGTTTTGAAAACCAATGGCTTTTGAACTCTTTTTTTAACAAGCCTGTCTTAATTCATAATTCTTTTTATTTCATCCTATTTTCTGAATATTATATGCCTTGTCCTATATATACTACCACCTAATAATCAGCTCTTCAGCAAGTAGTAGCTGCTCACTTGTAGATAAGCAGTTTTCAGGATAGGAAAGTTACATATAAGCAAGGCCTGTAGCAGCCACAGGCGCTCTCAAGCCCCTCCTCTCCAGTCTCCACCTCCATTCTCTGTTTTGACTTATCACTGAGAACAGGCAATGGTGTGACAGGGCTAGCTCCCAATTCTTCACAACACCCCAGGTTCTTAACTTCTTGGCCATGGTCCATGTTCAGAGCTGTGTATAGTAATTAGCTGTAGTCTTTCCTAGAAAAATGAAATGATGGCTAGCCACAGTAACTCCAGGAAAACTGCTATCATAATTTGTGGCAGCTCCAAGGACAGGAGTATGATTAATGCTTCCAACTGCTACAGGAAAACTTAAGAGGAGAAGGGTATATTAATTTAAATCTTCTGGACAATTTCGTTTTAGAGAAATTTGGATCACAAAATCACAGAAGTACCCTCCCCCACCAAAATATTTATATCCACTAAGGAAACAGGTAATGAGAAGTATTTAATAATGATTACATTAACATTTAATGGTTAAATATTATCATAGCTGTGAAGTTATAAGTCAGTATATATATTTAAAAACAGAATAATACTTATGTCTATTTCATAGGATATGAAGTAAAACAGTTATAAAAACTAGCTCCTAAGAATTTTATCACTGCTATGAAATCATTGGTCCTACATCCAATGTGATGTCAAGTGCTGATGAGAATAGAAGCTACTTGCCTACAGGTAAACACAGTGTCATCTAGGCACGTATGTGCCAGGAAGAACAGAGACCTGGAGGAGGTAGAAAGGAAGGTTCCAGAATCCTATTAAGTAAGGATCACTTTCCACTTCAGTGATAGCAATGGGAACAGAAGACTGAAGAAGCACTCTAAAGATCATGCACTTAGATTTAATATACAAAACTCTATTTGAAAGAAAAGTCTAAGTTCAAATGTTCTGCCCCATGAGAAATGGGGTTTTTTCAAAGGCAGTGGCTATAAAACACAGTCCATGGGGACCCATACTACTCACTTGTACTTCTCATTGATGTTGGAAATCCTCCAGGCATTGATCATATCAAAACCCATCCGCTCCACTTCGTTTTTAAACCTTGATGTTACGTGTTCCCCTAGGAGCCAAAGACAGCAGAAAAGAGGAAATGAACACCATTTTGCAAAACATGTGGAATAAAAGCATGGCTACCCTGATCAGTTATTTTTTAAGGGGGGGGCGGGTAGGGGGGAAAAGGCAGGTATCATATAAATAAAATAACATATAGTTGGTTTTAGTTTTTTAAAAAATCTCTATCAGGGTAAGACTGACTGACTGAATGAATGAGTGAATAAATTAATTCTGATGAAGAAGTATGTTATCTAAACTCTACCATCAACTCTGAGGAGAGTTATCACTGAGATTATTTTACAGAGGAAAACACTGAAACTGAGAGAGGTACTATGGCAGGTCTGTCTGATTCCAAAACTCATGTGCTTGTCACTAGTCTGGTTGCTTACCTACTTTCACGCTCACAGTGATGGTATAAATAAGAAATAACATCAACAGTTCACCAAGTATAGCACTGGGTTGGCCAAAATGTATGTTTGGTATTTTTCCTTACAACAGATCTAGTAGCACTTCGTTGACTTTAATTTCATTTGAAACAATTTTATTAGACTATATTGTGACAGCTGCCATATCAGCATGCATTTAAATAAACATAAAATTGGTAAATTTTTGTGCAGCCATTTTAATATTGAAAATGAAAGAAAATACACAACATTTTTGGCATATCATGTTTTATTGTTTCAAGAAAGGCAAAAAAAATTGAAATAGAAAAAAAACCACTCGTGCAGTGTATGGAGAAGGTACTGTGACTGACTGAACATCAAAAGTGGTTTGCAAAGTTTCACGCTGGAGATTTCTTACTGGATGACGCTCTGCGGTCGGGTAGACACATTGAAGCTGAGCGTGATCAAATTCAGAGACACTGAGAACAACCAATGTTATGTTACATGGAAGATAGCCAAAATATCCAAATCAATAAAGTTACTGGTGAAAATGAAAAACGTGCCTTCCATTTTACAGAAAAAACTAAATGGACTTTTTGGCCAATCCAATAACATAGATAGATGTACCCCTTTAGGCCAGCAGAAACCCTTTAGGCCAGATTTCAGAACTTAAGAATTTTCTGGATCATATGGTACACATGGTACATATACTATTAGGTTAACACTCTCAACGGGGTCAACTTAATCAAACGTCAGTATTTCTACAAGAAATGTGTGGATAATTCAAACTAAATGTGGTAAATAAAGCAACAAAGTGTCATGTCAGCTCAAGTCAGTTCAAGCCACCAAATGGAATAAGAAAAATCTTTCAATTTCAGAGCCTTATAGATTACAGAATTGCAGATAAGAGAAAAGGGAACTGTAACTGCCAGCACCCCGCAATCTCAGGAAACAGCATACTACCACTAAAGTGCTGATTATTTATAAGACTATGCACCCAAACATGTATAACCCATCAACTTTTGCCCTGTTGAATTTGGCTTTCTCTTCCTTAAGACAGTGAGAAACACAGGCATTAAATGTGAAATAACTTTGTTCCTTTAAAACTCAGAGTCCTGCCCTGACTGGTGTAGCTCAGTGGATTGAGTGCAGGTCTGCAAACCACAGGGTTGGCAGTTCAATTCCCAGTCTAGGGCACATGCCCGGGTTGCAGACCAGGTCTCCAGTATGGGCGAATGAAATGCAACTTTTTCTCTTTCTCCTTCCCTTCACCTCTCTATAAATAAATAAATAAATAAATAAATAAATAAATAAATAAAATCTTTTTTTTTAAGAAATGGCTTTATTTTTTTAAATATTTAAAATACCTCAGAGTCCTAAGGCAGTAATTTTATTTAAAAGAGAAAAATTATTAAGCAGAAAAAAATATACAGTGTTATATGTTGTAAAATAAAGGTTGGTGGGGGCTAGCAGAAACTACAGTAACAAAAACACAAAATCGACTGCTATGATGATCAAAGTATAAAGCTTTTTTTTTTCCACTGGGAGAGGTGCTTTGAAATAGGAAATGGCAATTACTTGAATGAACGACAATTCTACAAAACTACTTCCCATTTAAACAGCTTTTCTTGAGCTTAAACTAAACTAGTTATTATCTGTTTTATGCTATAAAAAGATGAGGTTCAGAGGTGCAAGAAGGAATAACTAGATTAATGTATACCATTTTGGAAAAGTTTTAGAAGCAATGTAGGCTTCCAAATGGGAAAAAAGCTATCTGAACTGGGGTGCCATCTACCTACAAATTGCCAGGAATGGTGACCATCAAGAATGCTAGACTGGGAGTCTTTCACTTACAATCCCAGTCTAAAAGCTGTAACACTATGGCAACTTCCAAATTCATTAATTAATGAGCCGAGTTTTCCCATCCTGTGACAGCTCCAAGTCTTTGCAAAAGATTAAAGTACTTTAATTAATGGTCCTTTACATTAGTACCTCTTACACATAGATACCCTAAAAGGATCCTATAATTTTAAAACAATCACTGGTAAAATAATCATCATCACTGCCACCACTGGCAATTCACTACATAGAACCATTGCCCAAAGAAGGACTTAGAACTACCATCTGGAGCATAAAATTCTGAGCTACACAAAGAAATATATACTGTATAAGAAGCACAGAAAATGTTATTTCAAGTTCCTTGAGAGCGACTTCTGGCCAAGATGGAGGCATAGGTGGACGCACCGTACCTCCACGCACAACCAAGATTGGAACAACAACAATTTAGAGGCAGAATAACACCCAGAACTGACAGAAAATTTATCTGAATAGAAGTCAGACAGCCAAGAAGTTGAAATAGACCCGTTCATCCAAACCAGTAGGAGGGGTGGAGACGAGCAGCCGGGCGCAGCGCAGAGAACAGGGAGAATTGGGTGCATAAGGCAACCGGGAGCGCGTAAGGCATCTGGGGTGCGCAAGATTGCAGCAGGTGGACCCTGAGTATGCAAGCAGCAGCTGGCAGACCCACTGAGGCGGCGATTGTGGAGCAGGGCAGAGCGCGCAACCCAAGATCCCAGGGAAGGGACTGAGGTCCCACAGAGAACGGAGCTACCGCCATTGTTCCCTCTCGACCCTGCCCTCACATACAATGTCACAATCTAGCGACTGGGGTGCCCAGCCCTGGTGAATACCTAAGGCTCCATCCCTCACCATAACAGGAGCGACCAGACCAAAAAAAAAAAAAAAGAGAGAGAGAGAGAGAGAGAGAAAGATGGCTCAAATAGAAAAACAAATCAGTGCCCCAGAACTCATCCTATTGAGCAACTAAGAGATAGCTAACCTATCAGATGCACAGTTCAAAACACTGGTGATCAGGAAGCTCACAGAATTGGTTGATTTTGGTTGCAAATTAGATGAACGAATGCAGGTTACCATAAAAGAAATGAAAAAAAAAAATGCACAGGGAACCAATAGTGATGGGAAGGAAACTGGGACTCAAAACAATAGAGTGGATCAGAAGAAAGAAACAACTAAACAGGAAAGAATGGAGAAATAAGAATTCAAAAAAACGAGGAGAAGCTTAGGAACCTCCAGAACATCTTTAAATGTTCCAACATCTGAATTATAGGGGTACCAGAAGGGGAAGAGGTAGAGCAACAGATTGAAAATGTATTTGAACAAATAATAAAGGACAATTTCCCCATTCTGGCAAAGGAAATAGATTTTCAGGAAGTCCAGGAAGCTCAGAGAGTCCCAAAGAAGTTGGACCCAAGAAGAAACACACCAAGGCACATCATAATTACATTAGCCAAGGTAAAAATGAAGGAGAGAATCCTAGAAGCAGCAAGACATAAGGGGACAGTAACCTACAAAGGAGTTCCCTTCAGACTGTCAGCTCATTTCTCAAAAGAGACCTTACAGGCAAGAAGGGGCTGGAAAGAAGTATTCCAAGTCACGAAAGACAAGGACCTATATCCCAGATTACTCTATCCAGCAAAACTTTCATTTAGAAGGGAAGGGCAGATAAAGTGCTTCTCAGATAAGGTCAAGTTAAAGGAGTTCATCATCACCAAGCCCTTATTTTATGAAATGTTAAAGGGACTTATCTAAGAAAAGAAGGTAAAGAAAAAACATGTATAGTAAAAGGACAGCAAACTCACAATTATGAACAACCACACCTAAAGCAAAACCAAAAGAAACTAAGCAAACAACTAGAACAGGAACAGAACCACAGAAATGGATATCACATGGAGGGTTAGCAACAGGGGAGTGGGAGGAGGAGAGAGGGGGAAAAGGTACAGAGAATAAATAGCATAGATTGTAGGTAGAAAACAGACAGGGGGAGGGTAAGAATATTATGAGAAATGTAGAAGCTAAAGAACTTATAAGTATGACACATGGACATGAACTAAAGGGGGGGGAGTGGGTAGGAGAGGGTGTACAGGGTGGAGGGGAGTGAAGGGGGGAAATGGGACAACTGTAATCAATAAAATATATTTTTTTAAAAAAGTTCCTTGAGAGCAAGGAGTGAGTTTTAATTATCTTTGTAACCTCTAAAACAGTGACTTCATAAACTCTGAAACTGACCATCACAACCCACAATAAGATTTATATTTTATATCACAATTCATACAACATGTTTATTTTAAAAGACTTCACAAAATAATACCCACTCTCACTATATGTGATGCTATTTGATATTTTCTATCCTAAATGTTACATTTCATATTTAATTTTCTTTAAATTTTTTTTGTTTCTTTATTGACTCACTTATTTATGTATTCACTGGTTGATTCTTTTACATGCCTTGCCTAAAGACTGAACCTGCAGTCTTGGAGAATGGGGATGATGCTCTAACCAACTAACCTACTTGGCCAGAGCTCATTTCTTAAAACTGATTTTATGACCCACTAGTGGATCACAGCCTAGTTTGAAAACCACTATTTTCTGAAAAGAAATTTCGCTACAGATCTTGCATCAATTCATTTGGCTTTTTGCCAAGTTGTTAGAAATTCACTTATGTTTGTTTAGCCAGAAAAGTTGAGTAAAAAGCACATACACCGCTATATTTTGCTTAAGAATATCCTTCTCAGAATCCTGTCTTCACTGATTCAACATTAGATAT